GCAAGCCCCCCTGAAACCCCCCTACTCTTGGGGCCAAAACCGGCGAATAACAAATGCGGGGTGGGAACTACCGAAAAAGCGCCCAATTTTTTCCTACCTAATGTGATGTTTTAAAGTTAGGTTGCATCCCTGCTCTTTGTGCAGCCTATTTCAAAGAGTATTTGGTCATCAAGACTTCTGGATTTCTTCTCTGGATGTAAACAAAAGGGTCGTGGACTTTAACGAACGGAACTACAAGATCACCATAGATTCTTCTAGGCCCTAGCCTCTAGCCTGCCCTAGGCTAGGCTAGATTTTAGATCTGCTTCTCTACCCTTGAAAGAACTCATTTGCACATCAAGTGAAAATAAACCAGCACTGTGAAACTGGCTTTTACACAGCGGTAATTGAAAATAATCACCTGGAACCAAGGTGCACATAGATCTACTTGCCAAACCCTGCATCGTCCTTTGACACCGTTGCCGTTACCAAGTCACTGAGGAAAGAGTAAACGGCAAACGGTTGTTAGACTATTTTGTTATAATTTATCAAATTCCCAGTTTTTAATGAAACTGTCATGAGAGTTACGACCCTTGGAGACCTGATATCCGAAATAACCGAATAAACGTCGAAGGTCATAGATAGAATTAAACGTTTCGGTTTTCTACGGGAATTATAGTTTGGTTCAGAAGGTCGCACGGTTGTCGACGACCAAGATGTCCTATCTTCAAGCTCAACCCCTTTCTCACGCAAAAAAAGTTCGTTCTTTGTACAAGCAAGCTGTTCGACTTCTCCAAGCACATTATGAATCATTTGACAGGTCAGATAATATAAATTTAGATCTAGAATCTAGATCTAATTATTCCGCAGATTCTTTTATTCCAGGTTGCTTCTCTAGGCCTCTATTGCCGTTGCCGCTGTTATGTTTACACTCACGTCTTGATACTTGAATGTCTTGATAAAATGAATATAATATTTAGAATCTACTACGAGAATCTGTAGACTGTCTCGGCTAGATCTAACTCTTACTCCCACTATCTCTGTCTCTTGATGAGTTGCAATAATTTAATGAGTTTCACTTATTTTGATTCACTGTTCAAGGCGCCCTGAATTTGAATGCAGTTTGCAGGCACTGTGACTGTTGAACTGTTGAGGCTACAACATTCACGGCACTCAAGCTTCGTTTAGACGGAGCGTCCACTGCTGGTTTTAGTCAGTGACGCCATAAAATATTTTGGCCTGCTTCAAACGTTCCATCCCATGAGATGAAGGAAAACGAAGCAGTGATCCTGGACTGATCGACCTTTCGTCGTTTTCCCTTAGGCCCTACACTTACACTGAGCTCTGGCTTAGAGCTCGCCAGTGCCAGTGTGAATACCAGTCATTTCGTCACACTGGAGCTGTCAGGACGTCACAGTCATTTTGTCACACCCCAAATCCACTAGGTTGAATGGAGACGGTCATTTCGTGGCCCTCTTGCAAACATCAAACCCGCAAATATAGCAAATCACGATTTTGGGGGGAGGGTTGGGGCTGTGTGTGGAAGGACGGCGGGGGTGGGAGTGGGGGGGGGGAACTGCGAGTCGTTGTGCTTACCTGATCAGCTGCACCGTTCATAAAATATGTACTGAAAATATTGAAATCTATCGAGTCATATCAACAAAGTCTTTAGATATTATTATTGTTGAAAGGTGTGATTGGCAAGATCATATACATGAGCAATTGTCAAAACGTGAGACTCTCTTGAGACTCAGTGGTGCCAAAAAATTTTTCTTACCAATTTGACTCCCTTTTCTGTCAGTCACAGATTGACATTTTTAGTAATTTAGTGCTCCTATTCCTAGAGTATCAGAACAAGGAGATGTCGGGTTTTGGAGATATGGGTCTATTGATTTGGCAACCACTGTATTTCTTGTATGTAACGGTGATGACAAAAACAGATAAAGGCAAATTATAGACTTTAAATTCCATTTGTTTCGTAAACAAAGACTTTGTACACTTTGAACTCCCTACATTCATAATGGTAATATGAATGACAAGCATTGTAACAATGACGCAGTGCACAGATATGTCAAGGGGGCTCTCGTGGCCTAGAGGTTAAGGTGTTGGCCTCTCATTCAAAAGGTCCCGGGTTCGAATCCGGGTAGCGACCGAAAAATTTTCTTCTCTAAAATTGTCTCCTTTCACCTTCTTTCCTGCTCTCTAGCAATATTCTGTTGTCTGCTTTCATTTCCACTTTCTGCCCCCACCCCTCACCTCCTTTGCCGCCTCCTCTGGGCTCCTGACTCTTTCTGCAGCCTTTCTACTGCTACTTCTTGGCTCCTCCTTACTGCTGTCTTTCTGCCACACCCATGCTGATCTTCTTATAGGAAAGATCTACTCCTAGCCTTCTCGGACAAGGGCGAAAAATCTCGGAGGGCCCGTGTGCAAGTTGCGCACGTTAAAGATCCCTTGGTCTAAAATCGATAAGAGTAGGCTTCGGCCGCCACCCAGGCAAAATTCAAAATTTTCTTCCAACTGAAAATATTAGGTGTGTCCCACGCGCTCATATGACCTTATGCAGTTGCAAGCGCCGTAAAACACTTTACAAAAACAAACAGATATGTCATCATTGTTATGTACAAGAAAGGATACACATTGGACATTATCATTGACAACACATCACAATAGTGAAAGGCTGTATAAATACAGTTATTAAACTAATATAATGAGGCAAAAGCACAAAATCAGTGGGGCTGACTTGTACACAGTGATGACAAACATGACTTGTGCATGACAATGATGACACAATGTACAGGAAAAGACAAAGTCATGCCTCCCGAGACAAATGCGCACTTTAAGAATTTAATTTTTTTTTTAAACCAGGAGAGGTTTCTTCTGCTTTGAAACGGATATCAGATCATATGAAAGACAGTGGACTATCGCAATTATGTTGCTAATTATGACAAACAGTACTCGTAAACAGTGATGACAAAACATACAGGGAAAAGGTAAAATCATGCCTACAGAGAACAAATTTGCACTATGAGATACACAGATCAAAAAAGGCGTATTTTGCTTCTAAATGAATTTTGCATGTATGAAACATATGTTGAAAACTTATTGATATTAGCAATGATGACAAATATTACTTGTACATAACAATGATGACACAATGTATTGGAAAAGAGCATATCATGCCAACAAAGAACAAATGTGTACCTTTGAGTTAGACAGATAAACAAGGACATATTTGTCTATTTGTTTGAGTAAAGAGAGCACACATGACATAAAAAATGTTTGCTCTTAGGACAATGTAATTTCTAGTACATCAGTCAGTCTTGTACGGCAGCATGACGACACCCCAAACATCATCACTAAGCACAAAAGCTAAATCTATAACCACAGAAATGATCCATCTCTCGAAGTTTGTTCACACATCACATTCTTGTTCCAGGAATCCAATGTAAACTCCGCAATTTCACTGAAATATTCAATAGGGTAGCGTAAAAACACGCAGAACAGTCCAGTACGTCACATTCAACCGGAGGCTGACGGCAATGACTACTTTCGTTTTTCTCTTTCCACCGTTGCTTCCGTGGTTCTGGGGAAGCAGGTAAGGGGAAGTCACTTAAGAAAACAATTATATCCGGGCACTGTTGATGATCCGTTCAAAACAAAAGCGGGCTAAAATTCGGACTTCCGGTACATCGCAGGGTGATGGCGGTCACGGCGAATGTTAAACAGCCGACCGAAATCGTAGATCTAGGAACCCGATGTTCCTTTCACGCATCACAGCTTTTGAAGTATTGAATAAACGACGAAAAGCAAAAAGATTTAACCCACTGTGGTGATTCTACTGAAAAATAATGGTGTTTTGTGAAACACCTAGTCCATGACGACACGACTGACGCACAAGTGATCCGAATTATTTGTTTATTTGCAAACAAATAAAACGATTTCTTGAGTTAGTGAACCTTTCTCGATCACAAATAACATATGATCAAAGCACAGGTTTAAAAAAAACACCCAAAAATACTAAATTTTGGACATTCTTTGAAGTTTGCATTGGTGTGCTCAAAATGACAGTCCAGAAATCACACAAAAACCGAACATTTTTGGCACAAAATTTACAAACTCAAGATTGTGAAGCTGACACTGGGTCTGAAACTGCTAAAGCAGGTTCTACATCCTATATTTAACATATGTATAAGTTTTGGAGGAATAAATACTAATGCATCACATTTTATGCACACTTATGTGAGATGTATGTGTTTTTCCCCACGTTTTGGCAATGGCTCATATATATATTAGTCCTGTTAAAATGAATTAGCTAAGAAATACTGCAATTTTGCTAAAAGCGAGACCCTTACTTTCAAATAAAGCCTTAACTCTTTGCCAGACATTGTTTTTGCCTTCACCTATTTGAACAGTTTGGACGAAGATTTAATTTACATTAATAAATATAACTTCGAAAAAAAGCTTTAGGCTGATCTCCAAAACTCTACTAGAATCTAGTACTAGCATAACAATTTATTTTTATAAGCAAAGTCATTTTGTCACACATAATTAGGGTGTGACGAGATGACCGTGTGACGAAATGACTGGTTACCACCAGTGTATGAGAAAACGACAAAATCTCAATTGCGCACAGCGCATTAGGATATAATATATGTGACAAAAATGTATACATACGCCTACCAAGATGTTTCAATTGCACTATCTCGCATCAAGGCAAGACTTCGCCACGACTTTGTGTTATCACGTACCAGCCCGTGATATGAGTTTCGTGTAAACGAACGTTCCAGTTCTCTTGAGTTGAAAGCGTGCAAATTTGTCTGCAGGCAATGTGTGTGTGTGTATGTGAGAGAGAGAGGGGGGGGGGAGAGGGAGGGAGAGGCAGACAGAGAGAAAAATAGTGAGAGAAGGGGGTAGGGGAGAGAAAGAGAGAAGGAAAGAGAAAGGGGAGAGAGAGAGAGAGAGGGTGTTTGTTATACTTATAATAAGAATTGATTCCCGTCGTTTTCTCTCTACGTCGGTTCCCAGACTGACCCGGTGCAATACAGTCATTATTGTACACGTTTTATGACCAGTCCCATCCTCTGAATCCCACCTTCTGTTTCCCATCTCTCACCTCTGGTTTCCATGTACCGTATCCAATTTTCCATATCCCATATCACAACTTATATTCCGTCAGGGTGCTTTGTTTTCCTTCATCTCATAGGATGGAATACTTGAAGCTGGCCAAAATATTAAATATATGTCACTGTCATCGTTGACTTAAACCGGCAGTGGACACTCCCCCTAAATGAAGCTTTAGTGCCGTGAACGTAGCCTCAACAGCGCCTGCAAACTGCATTCAGGGCGACGTGAACATAGCCTGCAGACTATGTTCACAGCACCGTGAACGTAGCCACTGCGTTTGAATAAAGCCGAGCAAAATTAATTAGATCTAATTACCCTGTGCTCTTTTCACTTCTTGACACTTTGCTTCATGCGCCTCTGCCTCTGTCAGAGTGCCCCTGGTAGATTCTAGATCTAATAATATTACAGCGCCAACCTTCTCTTTTCCTCTGCTTTTGACATACAGTCCGTGCCGGCTTTAAGCGCGCCGGCTTAAAGCATGTTTCGGACTCAAGCACGCTAAACGGCTCTTACCGAATTTTTGCTATATAAATTACACGCCTTTAAGCATGGTAACTTCGGCTTCAAGCACGCTTCATTTACAAGACAGTCAATACAGTGGAGTCCGGAAAAAACGAGAAGTCTGTTATAAAGACACTGTTCTAAAACCCCGTTTTTTCCCCTTCTTTACCTTTGTAAATAAAATACTGCTATAGCGCTATCAGACAAACATGTGAGTCAGTTATAGCGGAATATTTCTGCTGCTGTGCACAGTGCATAGGCCAATTATACATAATTAAAAAACCTCGCCAGTTGAGAAACTTGTTGGTGATCTAGCGAAACAAAGAGTGGTAGAGCCAATGTGTGTCAACAATGAAGGCCGGAGCGACTGAGTAGGGAGGGTGTGGCATTCGCAGACAAGCAGAACGCATCGCGTGATAGGCCAGTGTAAGCCTAGTTTAGATTATCAAGGCCTACCATGCCTGTCACTTCTCCGATGTGGAGATGGAGAGGTCACAGCAATGTGATGGGTGGAGCGAATTAGTGACGTGCGCAGACAGACGGAATGCGCCGCAGGGTGTGGTGGGGTGGGGGAAAACACAGCAGGCGAGTTAGCCCAGAACCCTTTCTTTCTGATCGCCAACGCCGAGCTGTCAGTCAACTTCGCTAGATCTAGCGCTAGAGAAAGAAACCTGATTTGATTTTTGATCAAGTAAGACCTAAAGGTCATGTTGAAACCAAATCATCACCAGGGGAGATATCAAAAGGAAATAAACAGAACCACAAAATCATAGAATGGACCTACTTTACAGTTTCCCTTGAATTTATTACTGGATCCCTTACAGCGAGAATCCTGCTATAACGGACATTTTGCTCCGGTCCCCTCCCTCTCGTTATAACAGGATTCCACTGTATTTTCATGATGGCCCATCGAAGTTCGAACACAGTCTACACCGCAGCAGTGGAGTGTGTTAAATAAGAGAAACACAAAGAACGCGAGTGATGGACACACACACTCCCACGGGCGGAGAGGAAGGCAGAGAGATACACACAGCGGCGCGCGCGCGGACATAAGATCTAGCCAAGGGAAAAGCTACACACGACCAAAAAAAATACAAAGAGAGTCGGGGAGACGAGAAAGGGAGGCTGGCTGCAATTTCACCTTTGACACTCGCTATCCTTTAATTCTGATTGTGTATCACGCCCAAGATGGGATGTAGGCGGTGGTATGAGTGGCACAGTGGGCAGTGGTACGCACAGGCAGTGTGTAGGCGTAGTGTGCTGTATCGTGACTGGCCGTCTAAATTAAATTTTCATTTCCCATTCGACCACAAAACAAAAAGTAACATGGCGGGTGTCTAAATAACAGTGCACACTTTTGCGGGACCGCTATAGGCCTACTTACAAACAAAGGGAAATAGCACGTGAAATTTTCTACATGAAAATCTCTGAATTATGTCTACTTCGCACTCAAGCACGCTTCGGCTTTAAGCACGCTTAAGCTTACTCCCGAAGAACGTGCTTAAAGCCATCATGGACTGTATAATTGAGTGTAGATCTAATATAAAATTAAAATCTTTGTATTTAATTTCTCTTGTAATTTTCCACTTTATACGCAAGTTTTTAGATCGAGAGGGGTCACTGGTAAGTTCTTTTCTCTACGCATTGTTTGTTTTTTTTTCGTTTTTTTCTCCCAGCATCGAAATGGCTGATATAACTGAATAATGTCTGTCTACCCACACGATTTCAATTTTTTTGCCAAAGTTACTTTTGTATTGTAGCTAACAAATTACATCAGTGTAATTACTTGTCACATCATTTGCTATAAAAATAATGTCCTTGAATATTTTAGCAGTTTTGCATTCTCAAAATAACTTCAGCTTCAGGAAAGCTGATTACAGATGTAAGAATTTATTGTCTATGGATCCCGTACAGTATAGTATGTAGGCTCGGAGATTGTACAACTTCCAGCCATGCTACTGTACGGACTTTAAATTGTAGTGTTGTTTTATGGAAGCCATCTTGGTTATTCTTAAGTACAGTGGGAGCCACATTCAAGAGGTCACTTTCAACGAGAAGTCTGCCACATGGAAGCAATCCTTAATCTCCAATTATTTCCTCATCTCTTTGTAAATGTACGTTAGCTCCAACAAGGTTGCAAACAGACCGAAGTCGCTTTCAACAAGGTCGCGATAACCAAATTAAGGCAAAACGGCCTGAAACAGAAGAATGTTTCTCCTTTCTTTCCATCTCACGCGAAGCACAAGGCCCATCCTCCATTCCTTACGCATTGTTTTGCTAGATCTAGTGTGCCTTCTAATATGGGCCTCAAAGTCAAGAGGATGGGCGAGGGTTGGCCTACGGTAGGGATGGGAGGGGGTGGGTGGAAAGTGAAAATGAGCCTGTAATTAGGCCTAGTGGAGTGGGG